CCTATCATTAGGTTCTGCAATCCTTGGGGCTTGGCTTCTATCCTGAAGCTCATACAACGGTCACTGTAGCTCCAGCTACAGGGCAGTGGTCCTCAAAATGCAGTGTGCAGGTCAGCAGCAACACTTGGGCACTTGTTAGAAATGAAAGTCCGCTGGCTGCACCCAAACCAACTGCATCAAACTCGTGGGTGAGACCCAGTGATTGGCATTTTAAAAAGCTGTCCAGGTGACTCTGATGCACTCTCAAGGTTGAAACCCACAGATCCAGGAGACACAATGAGCCACCTCTGGTTAAAGTTGTTTCCCAGAAGCTCCACTAAACCACTTCCAGCTACTTCACTCTGCACCCTACCCCAGCCTACCCCAACCCGGAAACGTAGGCTCTGGCTAGGTACACGGTCACTCTCAACAACGTGAAGAGTCTGCCAATAATGAGAAGGAGCAATAGATACGTGGTAGGCAACTAGCAGGAGAATAATATCAACAAAGCACCGGGGCTAGGCACATTTTTATTATTGTTTTGACCCATGTATTTTGGTGGTTGAGCTGTTTTCTTGTTAAGTTATACACTTTTGACTTGCCATTTTGAACTAATATCAAATGCCTGTGCTGATTATATATGACAAAATTCATTCCACCTGAGTGTGTGTACGCAGGGGACCATTTATTAGTAACAGGAAATTTGTTTAGAAGTTTAGTAACATTTTCTCTATTACAGGCACTTTAGGTTTTTCAAAAGTAGGAAAAGTGGTTAATCAAACTCTTAGGAACTTCCAAGAGTTACTTTTGGGCATCTATTTATACACAATCATTGTTAATATGCTCTCCATATGCTTAAATGAACTGATTGACTTAAGAGAATTAAAAATAACCAGATTCCAACTCATCAGAATAGTTCCCACTCCCTCTACCTTGGTATTACACTTTTAAAGACCCCGATGACAAAATGTGACCAGCCTACATCAAGAACCCAATAAAATATTAACTTACCAGTTAGATCAGCCTGTCGGAATAGACTTGTCGTTACCTTGTAGTTCTCTATCTACAGCTACAGATCTGTATCCTGTAGTGGTTGTTCAGAATTGCTTTCAGCCGAGTTCACCAGGGGAGAGACTGATATTCTAAGACTCGTGTGCAGGAGTTTTATTAGGTAGAGTTCCCAGGGCCAACGCCTGTATGGCTTGAGGCACGTGGAATTGGATAAAGGAGAAGCTGGATGGTGATACAAGTGCAGCTGCGGCCCACCCTACAGGGAGCTCTGCCTCTGCTCTGACCCTCAGCATTAACCCAATCGAGGCCAGGGGGTAGAGACTTTGTACCTCACACTGACCAGTCATTGGCTGCCGCTGGCCGTGGGAGGTGCGTAAGGATGGGCGAGGCGGTTCCTTTAAACCAGCAATTCCTGCAACACGCCCCATAGCTGGGGGCATGAGTCTGGAAGTCCTGAAGGCGGGGATCAGGGCATCTGGATGGTTCGTTCAGCACAGCGTCCACTACAGAAATAATTAGGATATGTGTGGATTCTAGCGTCAAAAACATATTGTGTAAAATCCTAGTCCTTACCATGACCTACAAACCCTTACCTGATCTGGTTCCTGACCACTTCTTGGTGTCACCTCTTAATGTCTCACTCCTTTCCACCCCTGCTTGCTGCTCCTTGAGCATGTTGGGTAACTCAGGGTCTTTGCGCTTAACTGTTTCCTCTCCTGGGCCTGCTTCTCTCTAGACAGCCAGATGGCTGCTGCTCATTTCCATCACGTCTGCTCCGATGTCACCTCCACGGACAGGCTGTCTTGACCACCCTGTCTAAAGTATCTCCATTCCCTGATACTTCCTTACTTTGCTGTATTCACAACACTTACTGCTACCTGACATCATATGCTATATTTAGCTTTGCTTTTTGTCTGGCCCCCTATAAAAGAAAAACTCATAAAGTCAAGGCCTGATATGTTTGGTCAGTGATGTGTAGTAGCCCTAAAATACTGTCTGGCACACAATAGAAATTCAGTAATAGATGGTGAACGAATAAATGAATTCATGCAAATAAATTCTGATACATTTCATGAAATGGAAGAGGTTGATTTTAGGCAGAAATGAAGAAGGTTAATAATGATCTTGAGATAACCAGATAATTCTAACCAGTACCTCACAACCCTCGCCAATCAGTCCTTTGAAGGAATTGTTACTGCGATAACTTACTATCTTGCATCAACTTGAGAAATTAATTTACCTGTAGCAAGCCATCTTCTGCATTTCCCATTTGGTATAGTCACATCTTTCATCACTTTTATGCCTCCGTCACCTTAACCAGGCCCTCTAGGGAGGAGCACCTGTGATGTACCGGCAGGTGTTCGGTATAAATCACAGCTCACCCCTCCCCGCTAATCCAAACTTGGAACAAAATCAGAGTGCTACTTTAGTTTTTCTTTTTCCCCCTCTGTACAGGGTAACGAAAACCTTATTTTAGGTTTAGAGCCCACAAAGGCTGAGCAAAGGACTTCAGCAGTGTGTTTGGCTGCTGGAGCTGATGTTCATTCCCTGCTGGAAGTTCCTAGCTTGACTCCACCTAGAGTTTGTTCCATGGCACCCTGGGGGCACTTTTCTGGACCTGGGAAGGTGGAAGGAGTGTGCTTGGGACTGAGGCAGCAGAGAGAAAGATATGAAGATCTCAGAAGGGATGGCCTGGTCTCTGTGGCATTGCCAGCTACAGCCAGAAGGTGACAGAACTGAGTTCACGAGAGACTTTGTGGGACCTTTGGCCATACACAGAGTGGCTACTGGGCCCAGAGCTGGGGGCCCACTCATCCCCTTCTACAGAGCAGTGCACACTCCTTTGGCTCCCCAAGAACTGACAGCTTTGGGATCACGGGAGATAGCACATTGGCATGGGTGTTGGCATCCATCGCAGGCAGCGGCAGGGCCACCAGAGAGTTTCCTTTTATGGGAGAAAAAAAATGGAGAGAGACATGTGGCCACCGCAGTTCCCCATCCCCATGGGCACATGGAGACATCCCTCAGGGATTTCTAGCAATATCCGGGGCAAGGGGCACTAACGATTTGCTCGAGTGTCTATGGGATTCTCAAAGGCACTATAATTTTGGCCTCAATTTAGATGTGACCCTGTTTGTATCCACAGCCAGGTGACATTTGGGTTAGAGAGTAATTGGTCTAGAGTCCTTGCAATGCAATTATCCTGGAGGAGCCACCTCTTAAAAGCCTTTTGAAAGGCTTAATTTACATTTCAAATAGAATGCATCTGTTTTGCAGATTCTGACTTTTTTTTGTTTCTGCAAGGGGTGATTTCCATAACTTAAATACTTGAAAACTTCAAGTTCTAACCGTGTAGAATCAAACCAAAAGAGAATGAAAGGAACTCAAAATGTATTTACTCTCAAGGCATTGCCCTCAGAAGGTGTACGCACAGGTAGCATTTGCACTGCCCTGATTTTACAAATGTCTGGACCTCTAGGCTCCTAGGGTTTTGCTGTCTTGCTTATAGAAAGATACCCAGCAGTCTACTTTTTGCCCTTGTAACAATGCCTAATTTTCTTTGAGCTTAATGCTTTATGCGTATCTCTTTTCCTCATTCAATCTTAACTACCTGATGAAGAAGAAGATAATCTGTATCCCATTTTACAGAAGGTGCAGAGACCAAAGTCACTCCTGGGGCCTCTCCCCAGTCTCCACCCTGCACTGCATCCCATCAAGAGTTGCCTAGTCTTGAATTCTTCTTGGCCCTTGTCATAGCCATCCTCCTCCCATATTCCATCCTTGGATTCTAACCCTAAGGACCCATAGTAACTGCTCGATGAGCCTTTGTTGTGTGGTCAGTTAATAGCTTAATAAAACCACTGCCCATCTCCCTTTTCATGTATCCCCAGCAAATGTTTCCTGAATACACTGCTCACAAATGTAATCATGAATCAGGGCTGGATTTAAAGCCAGAAGGAGCGTAGCGTGCCTGCCTGCCTACCTCCAGAGTACTCACCTGAGCTCTTCAGGAATCATTTCACGTGTTTTTGCCAATTCTAGAGCTATTGAAGTTCACAGCCGGTTCTCTTTTTCCCAGCAGTGCCCAGCCTACCTGATATTCCGACAGGCAATTTGATTTATCCCTGAGCTTTTATGTTGGCTCTGTCTGGAGTAAAAGAGGCAAAGCATTTGAAAGAAAGAGAGTCTGCAATTGCTTTTATTGAGCATAGGAGAACCACTGGAACTGAGTTTTTAATTAAAAAAGGCTGGTCAGGGAGGTAGAGGGTTCAAACAGCCTGTGTAGGGAAAATTAGTTTCTGACTTTCAGCTTGGTGGAGTCTCTCCTGAGCACACCAGTCTGTTCAGCTGTCCACGGTTTGGAAGTGAAAAACGCCAGCACCCTTTTAATCAAGCTTCCCTTTGCCAGAAATTTGGTTTCCAGTCCTGAATCATTTAACTGCATGCCTGTCTCCATAGCCTTTATTGGTATTTCATTAACAAGCCTAAAAGTCCTTCAGAATGATGCTCCTGTGCTTTGTAAAAGAGCATCCAGCACCCTACGGGGACTCTAATTCACTTCCTCATCACTAAGTGTAGAGTCGCTTCCATACTTTGTTTTTTCCTCTTGAATACAGGAATTGGAGTGGCTGAAATGCGTTGCAGCTCATGTTTTTCCTTTAGCCCAATGTACACTTGCTCAGTTCCCCCTTCATTCTCCTCCCACCCTCCATTCACACTCCCAAAAGTTTGCCGGATAATTGTGACTTCCTCTGTTCATTTTTCCATGTGACTTCCTCAAAACTCTCCACCCTTAAAAATCAGGTGCTCTGTAGTACTGATATATATGTAGTTGGTGCTACATAAATGAGATTAGATGGATGGACAGACAGATGGAGACCAACCAAGGTGGTAGAATCCCATTCAGTGAATTTTTTAGGAAATAAGAACTTGGACTCCCAAAGGGACAACAGAAATGTTTTGGTTTCCAAGGAATAAAAAAGAATGTTCGTTGTGTATTGTGATGACTCTATTGCAGGGCCTGCTTAACTGCTAACTTCTGAGCAAGGAGGGACCAAGATAACTTTTTAAGGTACCATCTGGCTCTCTGACTCTGCGGTGTGAGGAGGGTTGGCACTTGGTGCCGGCAGACAGTACCGTGTCCAGAGGAGGTGGGTGAAGGAGGAAGGGAGAAACATGCCCTGACCTCTCAGCTACGGAAAGGCCTGGCCTTTCAGGTAGGCATGACCATCTAGAGTGACTCCCATCCCTTCTCCCTCCATCTTTCCTTTGTCCCTCTCTCCCCAACTGTCCCCTCCCTGGGCATTAGCCAAGGGGAGCAGGGGGAAGGCCGGGCCACTGTGGCCTCTGTTGTCACATCAGACTGTGCCTTCTTGCCAGTCAGCCCTGGAATGACACTCGGGGGCTCCTCCCTCCCTCCATCCTGGTTTATAATCTCCCATCCCAGGAGGAGCCGCCTCTCTGAGCTGCTCTGTGCCACTGGGCTTGACTGCTCACATACCTGCTGCACGAATTCATGCCTCATCCCGAGCATATGTTAGCTGGGCTTCCCTCTTATTTTATTTTAATTATCATTACACAAATAATATACAAATACATTCCAGTTGTAAAATTTAAAATCTAAGCATAAAAATACAGCAAAACTCTAACTTGACCATACACTCCCCACATCCTCTCCCCCTTCCTGGAGGTAGCTATTGTTATCCTTTTTAAAAATATACATTTTAGGCTTACATATGAAAATATAGAAAAAAGTGGTTTTGTTTCATATATCTAAAATTTAAATATCCTATTACATAGAGTGTTCAGTAAATTGTTTTCTTCTCTCACTAATATTTCTTTTCTTGTTAATATACACAGATTGATCTCTTCTTTCTAACTCCTGCATATAAAATGGCTATGAATATAGCAGTGTTTATTAACCCATCCCTTATTAGTGGATTTTTAGGCTCTTTACAGTTTTTTCCTTGCCACTAGAGAAGACACAGTTATGAAGACACTTGTGCACTCTAGTTTGTGCCTGAATGTTTCTCTGAAGCAGACAGCATGGTAGACACATATTAAATTTTAATGCACAGCAGCAAATTGTCTTCTAAAAGAGCTAAAGCAGTTTACATTCCTCCAGCAAGATGCTTGAGTGCCATTTATTATATCCTAAATAATACTTGATCATTTCATGTATTAGAATCTTCATATTTGGCATATCTTTATTATTGTTGTTCATTTAGTCATTCATTGGCTTACTCAGCAAACACGTATGGAGTCTTGGCTATGCGTCACCCACCAGACAGCAGGTTGCCCACACGGGAGGAGTTTGCAAAGCTAGCAGTTCTGCAAGTAGCAACCTGCGTGGCTGATTTCAGGCACAGGAAACCCTCCTCCAGCCCAGCTCAGCCCCCTTGTTCTGCCCACTGTGGGTGCCTTTAACAGGGGTCTCAGTTCCCTGTGCCTCGAGAGCCATCAGGCTGTCAGTACAAAACCGCTCAGGGGTGTCACTTTCACTGGAGCAATTGAAACATACTAAAGTTCCCAAGCGACCATTCCTGGGGGCTTAGATGGAGGATCTGGGGTGGGAGGGAGGGGAAGCCGCCAGCTAGTTGTAGGCAAGGGTGAAGACAGGGAGGTTTTGTCTACTTTAAATCTTCCCCTAGAATCAGCTGGATGCTACTATAGGTTGGTGGGACTTGGGTGTTTTCTCCCTCACATTTTGAGGATAATTTACATGGACTGTTATAAAGGGTCTAGTATAATAATGAGGATGATGATAACAATAATACCAGCCTTTCATTGACTCTTAATACTCCATTGAGTATAACATGAGCTACAATTTTGTGAGAAAAATGAGAAAAAGTGCTGCCAATTATCATTGGAAAGTACTATTGATTGTAATAATTATAATCAAGTCACACCCAGATTTCATAGATGTAAAAATATACTTAAAAAAGTCCTAGAGTCTATGAAATATAGTAATAATTTATAGTTCTCAAGCACCTACTGTGTGCAAGACACTGTAAAGCCCTTGAACATGATTATCTTATTTAATCCTCATAAAATGTTTAGCAGATGGCTCTCCAAAAGAAGTGCTCTGATTTGTAGCATTTACCAATTTCCATGGTGTAAATACGCCCACTTGGCCATTTAGACCTATGTGAAGCCACTGAACTCAGAGTCTGGAAGAGAAGCAGAAAGTCAGCTCTTGCAAGCCAGTGAGAGCTGGTCCCAGCACACCATGGGATAGATCTGTTATTATTAATGTGATAGCTAAGGCTTAGAGAGATTAGGTAACTTGCTCAGGACTATATCACTGCTAAGTAGCAAAACGTGCCACTTTACCATTTTATCTATACGAAATCCTCACTAATAGGGGTATTGGTGCTGGACTTTGAATCATTCTTACAACAATCTGCACTGATTAATAGTCAACTTCAACTGACCCCAAATTCCCACTGTGTGGAGCATTGTTGGGGGTGATGAGAAAGGCAGAGCTTTATTCCCACATAGTCCCACCCTCTTTCCTCTGTGCATATATTTATTCTTTTGTTTCAATTCAATGTAGTAAATATTTATTGAGTGAGGGGAGGGGCCAAGATGGCAGACTAGAGCAGCCTGCACTTGCCACTCTCAAGGAGAGGATCAAAGGTTGGGAGTAGAAGTTCATTCATGGATGGACCAACTGTCTCAGAGAGAGCAGTGTGAATCATCAGAGAAGTGGGGGAGAGAGAGGCAGGGTGATCCACTTGGCAAGATCAGAAGGTACCTGGGGGAAGTGTCCACATGCAGGGAAGGGTTAGGGGAGAGATTCCCTGGGGCTCCGCATTTTCTCAGCAGACAGTGAAATCTGAGGTGCAAAGGCGTTTTCCACCACAGCAGGCCTCTGAATTGATGAGGGAGCTGCTTGGAGACTGTGCAGCAGTATTGCACCAGAGAGTGGGCACAGTGAGGTCCCTCCAACTTCTGGTCCCAAGTCATGGCAACAGATGCCAATCTGTGCTCTCAGTCCTAGAATGCCCGGTCTGCAAGGCCGTTGGCTTGGATATGAGCAGAGCAGGCTCCCACTGGCCTCAGCATCTGCTGCTGCCATTTTACCATCTCAGTAGTACTGCTGCTGCTACATACGTAGCACCACAGCAGCTGCCACAGGTGGACCTGGATAGAGGGAGAACTCCAGCCACTGCCCAGTGGGATGTTGCCTGTCACCCTGGCCCTGCCAGCCATGGGTGGCCCAGCCACTATAGCCTGAGGAGGCACCCTGCTGCTGGCTGTGGTCCCACAACTCACCCAGGCACTGGCCAAGACCTTCAACCACCAGGGACCCACTAAGTTCCCACGCCCTGCAAAGGCACCTGCCATGGTCCTGCAACTCATGCAGGTATCTGCCAAAGTCCCGCAACCCACTGAAGCACTGGCTAAGATCCCATGACATTACTAGGCACCCACGAAGGTTGTGCAATATGCCATACCACTGGCTGCATGCCTGTGATATGTCCAGGAGACCAATAAGATCCCACTACTTGCCCAGGCATCAGCCAAGGTCATGCCTCCCACCTCTAAGGAGAGGGACTAGCCCAGACCCCTGTCCCAGCTTTCAACAGTAGCCTGGGGACCAACCCACCAATCTGAACAAATATCCCCCTGTGTTGGCTTGGATTGTGATAATCACAGGGGAACAGGACAACACAAGAGAAAAGATACATTATAGGTTTTCAGTGCAACTACCCCTCTCCAGCTGGGTCAATCCTCCAGAGTAGGATACAAAAGTGCTATCTAGGGATTTCTCCTCCCTCTCATTAAGCAGGAGAGTTCCCAGCAAAACAGAATAGGTGTGTCCTAAATCTATCAAGCCTAAGTTGAGAGAAGAGGTTTTAGATGAGAAGAAACCAGCAAAATATCTGGCAACATGAAAAAACCAGCTAGTTCAACACTTCCAAGGGATCACAATAGATGCACAGCAACAGACGCCAACCAAAAGTAAACTGTTGAAATGTCAGCAGTGGATTTTGGCATATGGGTGGCAAACAAGATTAATGGAATTTAAGAGAAAGTTGAAAACCAAAAAAAAAAAAAAAAAAATTCAGGACATAAATGAAAAATATTAAAAACTCACTAAAGAGATAGGCAACATAAGTAAGGGTGTAACAGAACTTAAAGAAATGAAAGAATCATTTAGGAAATTACAAACTAAAGCAGAACGTTTCAACAACAGACTACATTAATCAGAGTAAAGAATCTCAGAGTTTGAAGACAAGGCTTTCAAACTGACCCAGTCAGTCAAAGACACAGAAAAAGGAATAAAGAAGAATGAACAATCACTCTGAGAAATATGGGACTATGCAAAATGATCCAATATACAAATTATAGTTACCCTGGATAGAGAAGAAGAAAAAATAAAAAGCATGAAAAACCTATTTGAAGGAATTATTGAGGAGAACTCCCCTGGTATCACCAGAAATTCAGATATCCAGATACAAGACAGTCATCAAACACCAGGAAGATTCGTAGCAAATAGGATATCTCAAAGACACATAGTTATCAACTTGGCCAAAGTCAAAATGAAGAAGAAAATTTTACAAGCTGCAAGACAAAAGCAACAACTAACTTACAAAGGAAAACCCCTCAGGCTAAAAGCAGACTTCTCAGCGAAGACCTTACCTACCAGCCAGAAGGGATTGGGGCCCCACTTTTAGTCATCTTAAACAGAACAAACGCTAGCCAAGAATTTTGTATACTGAAAAACTAATTTTCATAAATGATGGAGTAATAAAGATTTTTCCAGACAAGCAAACACTAAGAGAATTTGTCACTAGTAGACTTGCCCTGCAGGAAATGCTGAAAAGTATATTATACATGCAACAGCATAGTAGTTACTGATCAGTGTAAAAACACCCAAAAGTTAAAACTCACAGCTCTTATAAAACAGTAGCACAAGAGGGAAAACAAAACATAAGTTATCATCCAACCTGATGAATAGAACAGCATCCCACATATCAATACTAACACTCAATGTGAAGAGTCTGAATGCCCCACTTAAAAGACATAGACTGGCTGAATGGATGAAAAAACACAACCCAAGTATCTTCTGTCTCCAGGAAACACATCTAACCCTCAAGGACACACACAGACTCAAGGTAAAGAGATGGAAAAAAATATTCCACAAAAATGCAAACCAAAAGTGAGCAGGTATAACCATTCTCATGTTAGATAAAATAGAATTTAAATC